CTTGCTGGTCAGCCTATCTAGCCAAACTGATGTACTCTAGGGTCTGACTCGGTCTCAAAAAAATAAAGTGGAAAGCAGTTGAGGAAGACATCCAACATCAACCTCTAGTCTTCACACATGGGCACATACATACATATGTACCTCCCATACATATATACATATTCACCCACACATATACATTTACATACATACATGCCCATACCACCACACACACATCATACATGCACATATAAATACACACACACACACACACACACACACACACACAAATGCACGTACACATTAAAAATTGAAGCAATTTTCAATTTACAAAATGAATGAACAATAGCAATAAATGGTGAATATGGGCTTAAATATAAAAAACATTTTATCTTATTTTATAATCTAGTGGATAATTGACAATTTCAAGAAAATAAAATAGTAAACTAATATGATAATAAAAAACATAAAATGAGTGATTAAAATTGCAGGAAAGAGAAAGGAGACACAGCATGGTGAGACTCTTACACACACAGGTTCTTTTAATGTTACCTAATTTTCTTTTCAATATTAACTATTATTTTAATATTACCTAGATGGTGATGTGTTCAAACTATATTGAAACTCTACAATGAATAGAGAATCAGCTCAAAGTACGCTGAGTGAAAGTGTTGTTTAAATTTAATTAATGGAAAGGAGAAAAAAATTCAGAAGTAAAGAGAAGATGTGGCAGGTAGAAGAGAAATAGCCAGGTGGCAGACGAGTGCCCATACAACAATGTCATTAAATGAAATAGAGTCAGACATCTCTATTAACAGTCACAACTGAAAGAATAGTTTAAAAAGTTAGACCGAGTCTTACTGTCAGTGAGAAATGTGCCTTGTTGACAAACATAGTCCTCAACAGTGAGAGGTTGGGACTAGACAGTTAGCTCAGTGATAAAGCACTTGCTTAGAAAGTGTGAGGTCTATTTCTAGCACCACACAAATAATGAATAAATATGGGTGAAAGAGGTATGCCAGACAAATATTTCTCAAAATAAATTTTGCATTGCCACATTAGTTCAGACATGTAGGTATTAGAATCAGAAACACTGGCAGGTATAAAGAAGGGACAACTAAGTGATAATAGGGTCAAGGTTCATCATAAGGGCATAACTGTTCTAAATGTATGTTCACATAACACCCAGAGCCTGACAGCACATGAAGAAAATCAGCAGCACTAAGTTCCAACATAAAACCACAATTATTATTATGTATGTCAAGACTGTTCTCAGGTATTGATAAAAAGTAGTTAGCTATACACACACACACACACACACACACACACACACACACACGCACGCACGCACGCACACACGCACACACACGCGCGCACACACACGCACGGCTACCATATTCACAAAGACCAATTGGCAATAGAGTAAAACACTTCTCTTTTTTACTGGGCACAAATATGTTCACAGAGCAACCACATATTAGCCAATGAAACATACATCAAATACATTTAAAATTAAAACCATGAGTTCCCCGACTATAACAGAACAAAAAATGCACATTAATTAAAAAAAAATCTATCTAGAAAAATCCCAGATACCTGAAAGCAAAAATTACAAAATTAAGTCTAAATGACACAAAGGTAAAAGAAGGAATCAAAAAGAAAATCAAAATACATCTTAGAATGTATGGCTATGATAGAGAAATATTTAAAAATGTGTGGGCTAAATATAGAAAAGAAAAACATCTTATTTGCAATCTAAATTTCTATATGAAAAAAACTCCACAAAGAAAAAGCCACTACTTCCAAAGTAGCAAAAATAAATAAACAAAGAGACAAAAAAAAAAAAAACAGGAATCACAAAGTTGGACAGGACAGTCACAGAGAAAAATCAAGAGATCAAGAGTCGTAGACCGACTCTTGAAAAGGTCAATGATATTGATACACCTTGTCTCCAGTCATTCAATGTGGTGGCTACCAGTCAGAAGAGGGTACCCAGCAATTAAAAATGGCCTGTGTGGGTAAAACATGTTAGAGGTATAAAATACAAATAACACATTGAAGATTTCTAGAAAAGAATAGGGGGAAATCTTTATCCTTCTATTAAGAAAACAAACATTCTCTTCTAAAACTTCACAAGCCAGACCTCCACATGTTCTTTTCTGTACTCTCTTGCAAGCTCCTAAAGAGCAGTTCATGAAGCTCTAGGCTCTCCATGGCTGTTTCCAACCCAAAGTTCTGAGGGCATTCACAGTCCTCCCCAAACAGCATGGTCAGGGTCATCATGGCAATAGTCTACAATCTGGTACCAATTCTGTCCTGGTTTGCTTTCTGTTGCTGTGAGAAAACATGATCAAACCAACTTGAGGGAGGAAAGTGTTTACTTAACCTTACAGGTTATCATCTATGGTCCATTATGGAAGGAAGTTGGGGTAGGGACCAAAGTAGAGGTCAGGGTGGAAGGCTGCCTTCTAATTCATCTTTCCCTGGTCTATTCAGCTACTTTCCTAATATATCTCAGGCCCATCTGCTTAGGAGAGTGGCACCACCCACAGTGGGCCAGGCCCTCCTGTATCAATCACCAAATCAAGAAAATGCCCACAGACATACCTGAAGGCCAATCTGATGGGATCAATTACTCAACTGAGTTTCCCTCTTCCTAGGAGTCTCAGTTTGTATCAGTTGACAAAAACTAACTAGCACAGATGTCTTAGAATTAAAAGGCACAAACTACAATATAAAAAAAATGGATAATTAAGCCTCTACCAAATTGCTAAAGGTTGTTCTTTATACTCTAAAGGGGAAAATAAACCATGAAAAGGATAAATATCTGCAAAATATAATGAGCTCTAGCGATTATTGTAACACAATAAAGACAAACAACCAAATTTAAAGAGGGAGGGAGTTATTTAATCCAAAAAAGATATAATACATAAACACACATTTTTGAAATGCTAATATCATCAGTGAATAAAGGAGTGAATTTAAAATGGCAAATAACTCCTAGATTATACCTCCTGGGTGGCCAAATCTGAAAGAGTGAAAACATGAGTTCCAGGCAGATGTGGAGCAATCCATGCACTTGCCTCATAGGGATGAGACTGCAAAATGTGGCAACCACTTGGGGAAACAATTGGAAACTGTCTAATAAAATTAAGCACACCCTTGTAGCACAGCCAACCATTCCATTCCTAGAATCACCAAAAACAAAAAATGTGTAAACAGACTTTTCAGGAAGGTTGAAAGTGGCAGCCTCCATGACTAGAATTAAACAAGTTAATTCCTCGTTGCAGTTAGAGAGAATGCATATCTGGGGGCATCTCAGGATTTGGGTCTTAGTTAGATGCAGCTATCAGAGAGTGAAGGCAATTCTATGACCGGTTATGTCAATAAACCAAATCAGAGTGGAGGATGGTAAGTGTTCTGTGGGTGGCATGGTGAATCCAATTACATCCAATGGAAGAATCACACTAAGATGACCTGGCTGTGAGTGCCAGGTAGGTCACAACATGGACTGCTATGTTTTATTTCCTTCAAGGAGGAATTCTGGGAGGGGTTCTCCTTTTCATTTTTATTGTAAAAAAAAAAAAAAACAGAAAGCCTATCCATAAACTGATCAAAAAACAATCAAATTGTGGTGCAGGAGGAGCCTGGGGAAGGAAAATGGTCACTGCTCTGATTGTCAAACTGTGTTGACTTGTGTGATTACAGCTGATGTACTTGATTGTGCACTATTTTACCTCTGCACCTCTCCTCCGGAGTCAGGTGAAAGCACTCACTCTCCTGATTAGTTAACCCTCCCTGAGAACAGAAAGAAGTTTTGCTACAACTGGGAAAGAATAGTAGTTACTTAGTGAATTGTCTCCACTGCCCCTGGTCAATGTGGGTACTGTATTGCTTCTCCTTCCCTAGAAGGTCCCCTTGCCATTGTGACCTTTTGACCACAAGAGAGGGCTGAATCCTGACCCTACATTTTGGAGAATCCCTGCTTTCTATCCAGTTCCTCTGACTGCACTCAAACCCATAGAATAAAAGGTCCATGGGGCCAAGAGGCCAATGACACCTAGAGTCCATAATGCCATTTTACCCACCTATCAGGATCATATCCACACTCAGGATGATAGCCTGCCTCTGTCTATGAGCCTTGAGGACACTTGCTAAGCCTCTGCCCAGGTGTTTTGCAAAAAGCAAGAATAGATCATCATGGCATCACAAGCACGTGTTCAAAGGTTCTGTGCAAGTCAGAGATAGGAGTAAAAAGGAAAAGGCCAATGCCAGGGACCAGCTATCCCCATAATCCCATGCCACCATATGGCACAGCACCCTGAGAATTCTGAGTATAAGAACCTGAATGTAAGCTGGTGATCAGTCAGTCACAATAATTGCCAATGCATTAAGAATAGTATTTACTTATGAGTTTGCTAAATTCTGGATGTTTAAACATCTAGACTTACAGAGTGTGAGAACTACCTGGCCTTTGTGCCCTGAAGTTCTTCAACATCAGGAACAGGACTGTCCAGGACCTGTCAACAGGTCCATGAGAATTCATCCCTACAAGGCAGCTTGCTCTGCTATTCTGGTGTGGGGATGTCTGGAGGGGCACCTTCTCCACATGTTGAACCCCTCCCCACTCTCGCCTGGAGAGTTCTGGCCGTGGTCTTCAGTTCTCTGAGTCTTTCCCATTTATCATTCCACTTAATTTAAAACAAAACTAATAAGTGGAAGGATTCTCATTATAAACTCTGATTGGTGGTATATCTAATGTATATTGACCTTAATTTGCTACCACAGAGATTAGTTTAGGAGAAAGCCTAGTCTAGCATGAAGGGGAGGTGGTTTTAAATGAGTTGAAAGACACTGTTAAAAGTAATTTTGAGCTATGCCAGTGAAATTGTTAGTCAGAGAAGGGGCAAATCAAACAGAAAATAAGTGGATAATGAAGAACCCAGAGAGCACTGTGATACAAGCATACCAAAAATAGAAGAAATATGAGGTGGGGGGGGATGAAAGCAAGTCCTGCTTACCTGTGTAAGGACGGCTGTGGTGAGTTCTTAGCTGGAGGATGGGGGCATGGTAAAGGAGGGTGAACAAGGGTGCAAGAAGAAAATCCCCTGTCGTTAGCTTCCTGCTTCTGCAGCCGACCTCCTGCTACAGTCAGCTCCCGTCTTTGTCTCGCTTCTTCAATGGAAAGGAAGAATCTCAGAAGATATCCAGCTTCTCCTACACTTGAGGTATCATCTGTTCACCTTCAAATTCCACAAAGTCAAGAAAGGATTTAAAAAAGTCTTGCATAAGCTGAAAAAGTTCACAATTAACTTTGAAGTTGACAAGTTGACTATGGCATAATCTTGGCATTCTTATGTCCAAATAGACGTATGGTTTTAAAAGATGTGGCCACAGAGTGTCTCTTATTTCATACAAGGAGGTGATTATACAGTCTGTGTCCAGTTTTGAAGTCCTTGAGCCATGATACAGAGACATATTCAGACTAGAAAACCAGTGTGGGAGCTCACAGGCTGAGGCAGGTGTAGTAGTTCATAGAGAGCATTCAAAAGTCTCAAGAGCTAAAAATCTCTCCTGTTTATTTGGTTCACAGAACATTGAAAAGTTATGATAGGTCTCACAAAAACCAACTTTAATTTGATGACTGTCAAATTTGGTTCTGTATATGGTTCTGTAAATGACACTAGCCTAGTCACCATGGGTGTAGAGTAAGGAAGGTACCAGGCTGAGACCATGAAGTGCTATCATTCACCTGAGTAGGCCATGCCCCTTCCCATTGCACTATTCACCTAGAGCTAAGTTAAGAAACACTAAGGCATACCCTAGGAGCAGGAAAAAAATGACAGAAATAAGGCTAACTATAAGTAATTCTAAATTCTATCCACACTGCACCAGAGTGGAAACCTCAGAGAAGGTCATAGTAGAGTCTGACCTCCAGGAGAAATCAGGATAACAGGTGAACAAGGAAAATAGCAGATTTGGAAAACAACTTCTCACCTTGGTGCTGTTGAGGAGAGATGAGCTCTGGAGTTGTGAGGGCTTAATCACTTGGTGGTGTGCCTCTGTTGTGGTTGCATGCAGAGGCACTATGCAATGTAAAAATCTTCAAGCCCTGTAGACACTTCATTCTGGGATCATGGGCCACAATAACACTTTTGATTACAAGGAGGCTTAAACATGGCTGATCAGAAGATTGGCCACCATAAAATCCAACTGTGGTGTCTCCTTAGACATTCTAGCACCCTTAGGCCAGTGAGATGGCTCAGTGAGTAAAGGTCATTTCTGGCAAGATTGACAGCCTGAGGTCCACCCCCAGCAACTACATGATAGAAAAGAACTGACTAATGCAAATTGTTATCAGACTTCTACACATGTGCTTTAGTGCTCACATGTCTACACACAGATGCACACTCTGAAAATTAATAAATAAATAAATAAATAAATAAAATCTTAAATTAAAAATTCGACCCTGTGCCTTGTGTCTAGTGAATTGTTTCTAATATTTAATACTTATATGACACTTACTGACCAGTGTCCTTGGGCATCTTACCTTTCTCTAAATCTGTTTCCTTGTTTGTAAAATTGGGAGGCACTAACTTTCCATTCTCCTGGCTTCTTTTGAAGGCTTATCAACTAATTTATTTAAAACAAACAAACAACAACAAAAAAAACTCATCACCAGATGGATACACAGTGTCAAGCAATAAATATCAAGGATTTGGATACTATAACCTTGTATCTGACTTCTTTTCCCTCCTGATGCTTCTCGCTGCCTCCATCCATCCACACCACCATCCACTCCAGCCAACTACCCAGACACTAAGTCACACGGCAGTCATTTACCATCAGAAAACTGTGTCATCAGGAAGCAGGCATAGTACTGGATCCTCTCATTTTGAATCTGATCAGTCCCTGGGCTATTTCCTTCAGGCCTCAGTCATTCAGTGCTATGAAGGATGTACACAGGCATACTTCTATTAAGCACTGTATGGTGACTAGTGATGGGTTCTTCCTGTGAACTTGAGGACACTGACATCATCAAATTTCTGAACCTGTACAGCTGAGGCACCCAAACCTTGGTGAGTCTGCTATGTCTCATCAGAAAATCTCAGTTCCTCCTACAGACCAGGTCTCCCTTGGTTACATGACTTCAGTTTCTTTGACTCTGAATTCTCTGATAACATCACCATGCATTAGGATTTAAGGTATTTGCACATGATGGACGCTGGTATTATTATAATAATGTTGGTGCTCCACAGGCCAAGCCGGCCAAGTCCTGTGTGTGACATATTAACATACTGCATCATTCTCTGTGTGTAGGTTTAGCCTAAGCACTACTCCCCCACAAGGGCTGGACACCACTCACAGTAACCATTCATGGGAAGGCAATTGTGGGACTAGCAGCAGCAATGCCTCCTTTTGGATATTAGCATATTCAAAAGTCCTTGAAGAAATCTCTCCTCATTTTACCACTTTTACTTTGATTCCTAGAATCTCTGATAGATGGAGTGGGAAAGGCCTTCCATGACTGTAAATGGATTTTTAAAAACTCAAAGAAGGAAACATCTGTCTCTCTGGAGAGCAAGGTGACATGACAGATAATTAGAGCGGCTGCCTCTCTGAGATGGAAGCTTAGCTACATCACACACTTGGAGCCCTGGTCCTTCCTTATCCCCTGGTGAATTCTGTCTGCAAACAGCCCACTCTGCCAGCTGACAGTGACTTTCACCTTGAATCCTCCAGTCACCTTTCTCTAAAAATTCCTTTGCAGCAATGCTAACAGCAATAGCTTGCCCATCTTTGCTGTAATCAGAGTGTGTGAAAGTAGAGATGACTTGAATCCCAGAAAAAAATGACCTATCCATAGGACTGTGCTTTAAATACAGATGTACAGTTTCCCATTTCCCACTTCACAATGTAGATTTGGTGGTTGGGCTGATTTCTAGGATGTATGTTTGACAGGAAGGAGAAAGAAAGTCCAGAAGGGGGTGATAACATGCTTATCCCCCATGTGCCAGACTGAAGTACTTCTGCACTGATAGGTGAAAGGGAAAACAGAGAAAGAGCTGCTGAATAGACCATGAGGAATAGTCTAGCAAATCGGTCTAGAGGCCATTTACTGAGGCTGCTTCCCAAGGCATGTGCTGGTGGCTACTAAAGTTTGAGTGTATAGTAGTTCATAATCCAAAAAATGTTCCTGTTTTTAGAATATATCTTCAGAGCACATTGCCCTGAGTTGGGAAGTCTCCTTCAACACTCTTTACCAAGACATAGTAATTTACATAACTTTCCCATACTGGCTTCCTCCCAGAAGTTGAAGAGATATGAATATGAAATTCTTCCTAGAAATTTTCCAGAAAGAGTTCAAAGCACCTTTTAAAAGGAGAAGCAGGGGATCCACAAGGATGGTGCAGTGAGAGAGCCCCAGGTATGCATCTCAAGTATCAATTCCCAACAGTGATGGGAGGTCTTGATCAGCCTCCTCCTATAAGCAACAAAGAGATCAGCAGTGTCACTTCTTATCTTGGAATACTTGAAGCTATCTCTACTGAACTAGCAAGGAAGTAGTACCATTTCAGTGACAAAAGCCACATGCAGCAAATCAAGCAAAGGACAGCGGCTGCTGTAGAGAGGCCTGGGTCTAGCTGGGCTCTAGTTTATGTTACAAACAGTGCAGCCATACCCTTCTTCCATTCTCCCCTCTCTACTTTCTCACCTTTCTTTCCATTTCTATTCCAACAACAAAAGTAAAAGTAATGGCCAGTATTTACTGAACACAGTTCCGGATTTGAACTCATGTCGTTGATGACAAACTTACACTATGGAAACACCATTGAGTGCTTCTACTCATTCTCATCTACCCCACTTGTCTTCAGTGTGTTTGATCATAAGCAAATCTGGGCATTTTAAAGACTCTAGAAGATGAAGATTAATCAAAAATGCCAGGCCTCATCGAGCAAGGTTGGAAGCTGAACTGGAGCCTGAATGGTGTGAGTTAATGATAAAGAAGGGCATCTTGAGGCACAACCTGTTCTAAATCACCAGGCCAGCACCACTTTGGATCAGAGTAAATTATGACAACAGAACATTTATACCTATGATTTCAGATTTTTTGGAGGCCATCATTTCCAAAGCAGAAAATTGATTACCGAACCTTTCTAGATATAGCAAATTAGTAGCAAATGGATTCCTGGTACTACCTGTCTCCTTCCAGGACACACACAGGGAAGTTCTCCCCCAGCCCATTAGTCCCTGCCTTTTCCTCACTCATATTCCTGGTTTTTGGAGTTCTAGAGGAATAGGATGGCTTCCCCTGAGTTCTAGCTCCTCGATCAGCAGGTATGAGATGCCTCAAATGCTGGGCCCTAGAGTCCTGGAAAGCAACAGATGGAGGGATCCACTCCCTTCAATAAAAGGACCATGGAGGTCTGAACTTCCCCAAGTTAGTCAGTGTGTGAAGCAAACAAAAGGAAGGGCAGAGGACACTGGAAAGAGCAGAGGACAGATGTTATTAACAATGTGGAGAAAACTTAATCTTTTAAAAGTGCCAGTTAGTTTCAAGATTTTTGATAAATAAATAATTGAAAATGTCTCAGCTTTATCTGCCACAATTAAAAGGAAAGTTGATTTATTTACACAAAATAAGGCAAGCCACATAAGCCTGTTTTATGCTTTATACTTATTTGTATGAGTTTATGTGTATCATCTGCATGCAGGACTCTGAGGAGACCAGAACAAGGTATCAGATCCCCTGGAACCAAAGTTACAGATCTTCATATGCCACGACATTGGTGTTGGGGACCAAACCCAGATCCTCTGCAAGAGCAGTAAGTGCTCTTAGCTACTGGCCGTCTCTCCAGCCCTATTTTTATTTTTAAAATACTCTGAACTCATCATCTCTTTGTATTTGTAAGCTGCCCCTCTGCTGTAGTAAAACGACTCACGTTCTTGACAGCAATTTTTTCATTACTAAATTTTAATCTAGAATATTCTCTCACCACACAAAATCCATATCTAATATCATGTGCATCCCATGATGTGAAATAAAATTTCCCTCAGATTTTAAGCCCTCCTCTCACACCTTTAATTTTTTATATATACAAGATTCTTGTGGCCCAGTCTCTACACACTCCCCCAATCTTGACTCTGGCCACACATCTTTCAGTTTAAGCCTCAAACATTCTCAGTCCCTTAAATTACCAGAAGTCACCATGGAGCAAGGCTTCTTTGGCTAAAATGTCACCCACTGGGGAGGCACCCTCCACATTCTCTAGCTCTCTGTATGTATGCTTCTCACTCACTCTTGCTCTCTCACTCTCTCTTTGTGAACTTCCACAGCAGTTTTGCCTCTTAATGGAAGAAGTCTTGGTCTCCTGTAGCCTACCCACATACTGTATTCATTTGTCAATTGTGCATTTGTGTTCTTGACTTTGTCATAAAACATCACATTTCACTAACTACCCAGATACTATCTAGGGAACAACTTGGAGGTGTGTGTTTTGTGTGCCCAGTTCTTGTGCAGTTCTTGGCATGTATAAAGGTGCTTAGGGAACACTGCATTCTTGCAGCAAACACCACATATCTGAAAAACTACTTTGTATGGGTCCATATTCTCTTAGTCTGTTAATCCTCTCTGTCTAGACTTCTCAACAGATTGCACATCTTTTGGAGGCAGAAGGGACCAGGGTTTCTGCTGTCTCCTCCAGCATTGAGTCTTTACTGGATAGTTATCTGTTGTAGGATGCAATGTACAAGAAGGTGGAGACAGATTTGCTTCCAGCAGTGAGTGGATCCCTAGTTTCCAGTCAGGAAAGAGGACAGTGGGCCTTACAAACTCAAGAGAATCACCCAGGCTGACCATATGCCAGAGAACCTGAGAAACACTGGTAAGATACAATCTACACTCAATAGGGAGAAAGCCCAAGTTCTACATTCATTCAGTTGCTATGCTCTTTCCCTAGTTGCTTCATCAAGGCCACTGTGCTGTCCACTGTGAAAGGTCTTTGGCTCTCAGCACTTCCACGTATTTTGCAAATGCTGATAGTGGTAGAAAAAGAAGGCAGAAAGGGAAGAAGAAAAACAAAGAAAAGTGTGGGGGTGCTGGTTTGAAGGGATTTTTATCTAATTTCATTTTAATTAGATCCTTTTTCTAACTGAGTTTCTAATTTTTCAATTAGCAATTAGCAGCTGCAGCTCATTCTGAGAGGCACGAGGTGCCAGAGACACTAATTACACCACAGGAGGGGGAGGAGGCTGGAAATGAGAAATAAAATTATCCATGAATGTTATTAGAAGAAAGGAATGATTACTCTCCGTAATAATATACTGATGTGAGCCTAATTAGATTGAAGGGTTCAGAGGGAAAAGATGAGATTTAAAAGTGGATCACATTTAGATGCCTTGAGCTCATAAATTTGCTATGAATATTGCCTTGGGTGTCTCACTTGAAAACAGGTTTGCAAGCCTGGTAATGTTTATGTCAGATTGTTCAGCTTGACCCCTGTCCCTAGCAGCTGATAGCGCAAAACATCAGTGACTTCTGAAATACCAATACACTTCCTGTAAGACATGTGTCTGATATTTAAAAACCAAAATTCACATGCACAAACATAAACAACACAGTAAAAATAATACTTAGAAACCCAGAAGTAAGAACAAAGATGGCACCATCTCTACTGTGAGCCAGCATGGCGTTTTAGCAATGAAACAAAAAGTTGTGTAGCTTTGCACTCTGTCAGTTCATTCATTCACTCCCTTCTGTGACAGCCTTGAACCTGTGGTCATGTTTTCCTGGTGCAAGGAATGTGCAGATAACACTTTTACATTGGAGGCTCCTTCAGTCAAGAGGAGTAGCTGTCTGTTAATGCAGTTGCCCTTGAGACCATATGTATTCCCAAAGAAGGGGGACTGGGGACATCCAAAATACTAAATTCATCATCAAGAGTGATTCCTTATCAGTTGTAAACTGGTCTCCTATATTCCTAGAGACTAGTGTGACTGACCAAGGTTTTAGTGGCCTCTGGCAATGGAAAGGTTTTCAGAACAGTCTCAGGACCTTGGTGGGACAGTGGCTATGGTCCTTACACCTTCCTTTCATTGGGAATCCAAAAGCCTATGAAGAAAGGCAGAAAATGCCCTCTAAGCATCACTCCTCTCCTAATTTCAGAATGCCCTGATCCATCTGATCTCTAACCTGCCCTTTTCTTTCTTTTAGCCATTTAAGTGGTGCTTTATGACCCAGACTCTGATCCATGATGAATCTTCTTCTCCCATATCCATACCCCCTAATTCTTATCCTATCTGCTTCTGGGCAATTCAGTCAAATTTAGTCAGTACTTCTGCCCAGGAATTCTCCCAACATTTCCCTGCTCAAGGTGTTCCCCAGTGCACATACACCTTTCTTGCCTTAGCTTCCTTTTCAGTTCTACCCCAAACCCCAACAAAGATCTCTGCACAGATACTTCCAACTGTCTTTCTGAAGGGCTAACTGGACTGTGCCATTCCTGCTGGAACTAGCTGGTTGCTTTGAAAGAAAATCCAAACTTCTCTGCCCCCAAGTTCTGCTCAGGTACACATTTTGGATATAATGTTTCCAGCTTCTACTTCTATATCACATACAACAGCCAAATTAGTGTTGGGCCCCATGCCCGGCTTGTGCCTTACCCTTGAACTGATAACCCTCATACCATTTCCAGAAAGTCAACCCCTAACCAGTTCTCTAAGATTCAGCTTAAGTGAAGTAATATTCTATACCTCCCTGTGAATGAGTAGAGGGCTGCTAATTTTCAAAGCAAGTCCACATCCGAATGTTTGCCTCAGCCTCACCATTGCTTACAGTTAGGCAGGAAGGATTGGTGTGATAGGTACTCCAGCTAGTCAGACCTCCTGTCACTGAGGCAAAGTACCTGACACAAACAACTTATTGGAGGAAGGGCTTGTTTCAACCTGTGGGTTCAAAGGTCTAAAGCAGATCGTGGTGGCAGTAGCATGTGGAAGAAGCTATTAACCTAGTAGTGCACCAAGTAGAGTGGGGATGGAGAGAGGGAGAGAAGAAGTGAGGAAGAGAGAAAGACACACAGACAGACAGAGGCAGAGACAAGGAGGATCCTGAACATGGTTCAGCCACCAATGGAACTCCCTAGTGATCCACTACTTCCTAAAGTTTCCAAAACCTCAAAACTTCCCAAAATAGCATCACAGTTGGGGACTTTCAATGCATGAGGTGATGGGAAACACTTCTTGTCCAAACCCCAGCAACCCTCTTGTACCAAGGAGGAAACGGCCTGGTGAACAGCCTGGTGAGGGAGGTAGACCAGATGGTTGCTGGCTTGCTGCTTCCCTGGAGGAGTTCTTTCCACTCAGCACAGGCAACACTCAGAGCCAGCTTGCTTCTGCTGTCAAGAACTTAGGTGGAGTCTTGCTGCATACATCCTGAAGGAACCTGAGAAATGGACAGAGGAGTTCCCATTGCTTGGGCCTGTCTTT